TATTTGTTTCTCTTTCTGTGTAAAGCTGCTAAATTTCCTTTCTTTTTCTTTTCTTTTTTTTTCCTGTATACAGCTTTGAATTTAACCAGATTTTTGTTTTTCTCTACTGTGTACGGCTGCCAAATGCACCATATTTGTTTCTCTTTCTGTGTAAAGCTGCTAAATTTCCTTTCTTTTTAAATTGTATTTATTTATTTTCCTGTATACAGCTTTAAATTAACCAGATTTAGTTTTTCTTTACTGTGTACGGCTGCCAAATGCAGCAGAGTTGTGTTTTTTTCCCCGTTTTTTTCCGGCTGTTCTCACCACGTCGGCGTCCGTGGAGACGCGCAGCCACAGCGAGTTGATGCCGCTGGCGGCGAGCACGGCGAGGTGCGGCGTCAGCGCGCTGCAGGTCGCCATGGCGATCTCCTTCTGGAAGACCCCGCAGGACACCGCCGCCGCCGCCAGGCCGCCGGCGCCGGGAGGCTTCGGCTGCTGGAAGACCTGCGAGAGGACGAGACCGGTCAGATGACCATTAACTCTTTGGCTGCCAAAGACGTCTATAGACGTCTTTTATGTTTTTCAACGAGAGTGGCTGCGGGACTATCTGCTAAAGCTTGTCCGTAAATATCGGCTTCTAGACAGAGTATGTAGTAACAAATTGACCCTCTAGGGGGCAGTGCCACTTTTGATGGGAGATGAGCATAGACTGTAGGCAAATAAGAAAAAGGTAACGGTTCTATGAGAGAACATGGCGCCGGTGAGACGCAAGTCCAGAAAGAACGGAATAAGGTAGAAACACATTTTTTTTCCTGATGAAAGAAGAGAGTCTACTCTTTCTTTTGGTGTGTTCGGTGTTTACATAGTCATAGCACAAACTATTCTGTGGCTCTTGAAAAATCAGTCAAAATTCTCAAAAAACTCTGGCAGTGAGCGACTCTCTGTTCTGAAAATGGCTGCCAGTCAATGAGTTAACAATCACAATTAATGCAATCACTCATTTTAATTTTGTAATGTCATTGTCTGTCAGTGTGTTACTCTGTTTTAACTGATATTGTATCATGTGATTTTGTTTTGTTTTGTCTTCCTGCCTCAGGACGACAGATGTAAACGAGCAACTATGCTATAATCTGGCTCATTTACAATCTGTATGAGATTGTTCATTAATGTGCACTGTCCTGATTAAAGAAATAAATAAATAAATAAACATGACGTTAGCCTTGAATTGCTAGCTGCTGCTAATGGCTAATAATAACACGCCAACATTAATCAAGTCTGCAGGAAGCCAAGGATGGAGATCCAACTCCCCCACTTCCAAGTCGGCCATTTTGATTAGGTCACCAATAGGAAGATCCCAGGCAAGAAAATCCCAATGGCTTCATGGCAATATAGAGATTAATTTAAAAATAGTGAAATGAATCTTGCAAACACTGAATTAAACTCTATCCATAATATTAAGTTAAAATAGTGGATGTTAAATAGGTTTGTACAATAAGTCCAAACAAGTTTAACCCAAAAATATTTATTTATCCCAATTATGAAGGTGGAGGGTTAGGGTTAGGCTCAGGGTCAGGGTTAGGATCAGGGTTAGGGTCAGGTTTAGGGTCAGGGTTAGGGTTAGGCTCAGGGTTAGGGTTAGGGTCAGGGTTAGGTTCAGGGTTAGGTTTAGGTTCAGGGTTAGGTTTAGGGTCAGGGTTAGGTTCAGGGTTAGGTTTAGGGTTATGGTCAGGGTCAGGGTTAGGTTTAGGGTTATGGTCAGGGTCAGGGTCAGGGTTAGGGTTAGGGTCAGGGTCAGGGTTAGGGTTAGCTTTAGGGTCAGGGTTAGGCTCAGGGTCAGGGTTAGGGTTAGGATTAGCTTTAGGGTCAGGGTTAGGGTTAGGGTCAGGGTCAGGGTTATGGTCAGGGTCAGGGTCAGGGTTAGGTTCAGGGTTAGGTTTAGGTTCAGGGTTAGGTTTAGGGTCAGGGTTAGGTTCAGGGTTAGGTTTAGGGTTAGGGTCAGGGTCAGGGTTAGGGTTAGCTTTAGGGTCAGGGTTAGGGTTAGGCTTAGGGTCATTAATGTGGGCCACCATAACATCAGTAACAGGTCAGTTTGAAACCAAAGACACTAACCTGTCAAAATCCAGTTACATTTTGGGGTCTTTGTTTTTATCCTTGTGCTATCGAAAACGGTATCGAGTATCGAGTACTTTCCTGAGTATCGGTATTGAGCTGAAAGTTTTAGACTCACCTCGGTGCACCTGATGGCGCGGCCGTCCGACTCGAAGTCGGCGTCCTGCTGCATCCGGACGCTGCGCACGCCGTCCAGCGGCCGGCCGTCCACGCCGCTCGTCCTCCTGCAAAGAGGCAAAGCGGTCGGACATTAGGTCCGGTTTAACAACCCGATAGAGGTTCTGGTTCTGATCGGGAGCAGACAGAGGTTTTGGTTCTCATCGGAGGCAGACAGAGGTTCTGGTTCTGATCGGAGGCAGACAGAGGTTCTGGTTCTGATCGGGAGCAGACAGAGGTTTTGGTTCTGATCGGGAGCAGACAGAGGTTTTGGTTCTGATCGGAGGCAGACAGAGGTTCTGGTTCTGCTGACTGAGGTTCCGGTTTAAAAACCTGATAGAGGTTCTGGTTCTGATCGGGAGCAGACAGAGGTTTTGGTTCTGATCGGGAGCAGACAGAGGTTTTGGTTCTGATCGGGAGCAGACAGAGGTTTTGGTTGTGATCGGAGGCAGACAGAGGTTCTGGTTCTGCTGACTGAGGTTCCGGTTTAACAAACTGATAGAGGTTCTGGTTCTGATGGGGAGCAGACAGAGGTTCTGGTTCTGCTGACTGAGGTTCCGGTTTAACAACATGATAGAGGTTCTGGTTCTGATCGGGAGCGGACAGAGGTTCTGGTCCTGGTTGGTAGCAAACTGAGGTTCTGATCGGGAGCATAGAGGTTCTGGTTCTGATCGGGAGCGGACAGAGGTTCTGGTTCTGATCGGAGGCAGACAGAGGTTTTGGTTCT